AGACTAGCTTAAAAGGGGCTCGTCCGGGATTTGAACCCGGGACCTCTCGCACCCTAAGCGAGAATCATACCCCTAGACCAACGAGCCGCTGCCGAAAGGCCCTGCGGCCGTCGATGAAGGCGCCGTCTCTGTCCGCCGGGTGAGCTTGTCCGGCTCCCCCTCCGCTCCCGATCGGAAGAGCTGGACTCAGGCCCCGCGGGCAGGAGAGGAATGAGGCAGCCTTGCCACACGCATCTGGTTTGCGGGTGTCCGGTGGGCCACTTTCCCTTCCCCAGGTGGAAAACAGACCATGGGATGGTGAAAGCCCCCCTCCCACCACTGCGAGGACCTGGGTCCCGACAAGAGCTGGGAACAGACTTGCACACTCCCGCGCTCCCGACTGCACCCCCCACGCCCGCCACACCCTGGGGGGGCTTCCCCCAGAGTCCAAGACTCACTCCCTGGCCCAAGTAGGTGGAGCTGCGACCGTCCCGCCGCCGCCGGCTGGGTCTCCGGGCCCCTGCAGGGAAAGCCCCTTGCCCCCTGGGCTGTGGAATGGGGTCCGGAAACGCCCGTGAAGACAGTGTTCCCCAAGCCTTCCCTGCAGCCTCTGAGGCGACCTGTGACGTGCTGACAGGGCAGAGCCGCCTCTCCCTCTCACCTGGCCCAGCCTCCTGCCAGCGACAGCCTGGGTGCCAGCGACAGCACCTGCACGGACCAGAGCCGTTGAAAGCGGCCTGGAGAGGCCGGTCCCCCACTTCTCCTCCATCACCCTCCGGAAACCACAATGAAGACTCCCGCCCAGATTCCCCTTCATTTTCACGGAGCCGCCTCTGTGGCCCTTGGGGGGGCACCCCTCCTCTTTGGAACTGAGTAACACCTTTACAGTGACAGCCACCAGGTGGTCGAATTCACCAGACCTAAGTGAACCGCAACCCTGTGAAAACGCCCAGATCTTCCAGCCTGGACATGAGATTCCCTCCTCTCAGAACAGCTTCTGGAAGCCTGTGGGACCCCAAGCCCTTTGTGGCCCCAACACTGAGGCACAGGCTCCATCCTGTCTGGCCGCCCTTCCTGCCTTCCGGTGGCTGGGGACCGGTCTTCAGCGGCCCCTCTCCAGCTGGAAGCTCCCAGGAAAGTGGGTCCTTCGGCAATGGAAAGGGATGACCTCCCCGCCCCCCAAGAATAAAAAAGGGGGTCCTCTCGGCCCCCTCCCCACACCCTGTAGCCCGGGGCTCAAGCATCGACTTAGGTACTGGGGGCGGCCCCCTGCCGCCAGGTCCCCAGGGAACGCCTGGGCCTTCAAAAGCTCTGGGCTCGTCCGGGATTTGAACCCGGGACCTCTCGCACCCAAAGCGAGAATCATACCCCTAGACCAACGAGCCAGCCTGGCAGAAAGGCGCTGACGTTGGCCCCAGGAGCCTGGGCCGCGGCGGGGGGACGCAGGGGGGGGCCGGCGACGGCGCAGGACCGCGGCGGGGGATCGCTACGCTAGACGCCCAGGAACCTCACGCTCCGTGGGGCCCGCGCGAGGACCCTGCGGGGGGCGCTGCCGCCCGCGCCCTCGGGCCTCCGGATAGGGGTCCCGCCCTCCCCGCGGCGCGCTCCCGCTCAGCGGAGATCTGAGCTCCGCTTGGGGGACCCCAAGGCGGGCGTTCTGGGCGGGGGTCGGCGGCCCCCGGGGCCAAGGGCCCCGCATCCGCGTGGCCAGCGGGCGCCCCGACGGCGGAGCCCTGACGCCGCCGCTCTGCTCCTCGACGCCGGAGAGGACGGCGTGTGAGGCCGGAGGTCGGCGCGACCGGAATGGGCGCTCAGTGCTGAGCGCAGACCCCGCCGAGGCCCCGCGGTCACCTGTGACCCCCTCCCGGCCGTGGGCCCGACTTTCCAGCCCCCGAGGGCCGCGGAGCGCGGTGCACACGCAGGCAGAGCCCGGCCGTTCCTCGCCGAGAGCACCTTGAGCGCCGCCCTGGCGCTAGCCCGGGTGCGAGGGATCCCGACCCGCCTCCGCCCACCGCGGACCATCTGCAGGACTCATGAGGCCCGCCGGACCGCCGAGGCGCGGCGCCCGGCTAGCTCAGTCGGTACAGTATGAGACTCTTAATCTCAGGGTCGTCGGTTCGAGCCCCACGTTGGGCGAGGACTTTTGTCACCACGCCTTGCAACCGATCAGAGTTGGTGATTCCTCCCCCAGGGAGGAGCTGTTCACTGTCTCCTGTTTGTCCTATCAAATCAGTACTTTTGGCCTGCCTGTCCCACCCAGACGACGGACAGCACGATCCGCTTAGGTGCACCGGCCCCCTCTCCTCCAAAGGACTGGCCGGCTGGGGGAGAGGAGGGATAAGGACGTGGTACCCTCATCGGCTGCTCCCTGTCCTCAAATGGTAAGAAATTGGGGTTTTGGGCATACTCCCGGCAAGGAGAGCTGTGGTGTGGCCCAGAGAGGAGGAAGCCAGGAGGGAAAGCTGGGCTCCTTTCCAGGGCTGGGGTGGGTCAACCTCAGGTGGCCAGCTCCTGGCCAGAGTCTTAGGATGGGTGGCCTGCCCCACCCCTTCCTGCACCTCTGCTCAGGCCGGGTTCCTTCCAGCTCCTCTCCAGGGAGCTGAGATCCTAGTGCTGAGAGAGCAGCTGGCCCCCCTTGGTGCAGGGCTGGGGCATCAGAGTTCTCTAGGAAACAACATGTGCACTGGGAGCGATGTCAAGGAATGGGCCTACACGGCTGAGAGGACTAGAACGCAGATTCTGCCGCACAGCTGGGCATTCCCAGGAGAGTGGACAGTTTGGGTCAGAAAGCGGTCTGAGGCCAAATCCCTTCCTCCTGGGGACCTTTGGTCTCGGCTCTCAAGACCAACGGATTGGGCAAGGCTCACCCATTATGGAAGGGAATCTTCTTTACTTTTCCAGAAATTGGGAGACAAAAATGGTGAGGGAAGCAGCATCTTTGAATAGTTCCGTGGCTGAATTCTCTGCAGACACTGCGGACATGGCCCAGTTTCAGTGAAGCTGGCGGGGTCCCAGATGTTCTGCAAGGAGGAGCCCCAAGCTGCAGGGGCGGGAGGGCTCTCTGTGCCACATCTTGTACCTGCAGACCCTCACCTCGAGGATGAAGACTTGTATTGCATGGACCAAACAGAAAGCTGATCATGAACTATTTCAAGGTGTCCCAAAGTAGAGAGAAGCATGAGAGATGTCCCTTCATGGGACCCACTCAGGGCCACCCCTCCAATCAGCCCAATAATTTCCCCAGTTTATTAAACTGTATTTGAGAAACAAGACCATCTCCTTCAAGGCGCAGCGGCGTTTCCTGCATGCGTCTATCCGAAGCATGTACCCCGCGGAGGAGAGGAACGCACCCACAGAACCTCAGTGTGTGCTGAGGCCAGCGAAGCCAGGCGCACACTCAGGTATTACCAGCTCTCCTGGCCCCCATTATTTTAAATCAGGTCAAATGTCAAATAATTTGATCTTGAAACAGTTGTGCCTCCTTATAAAAGGCAAGGACTTTGACAAAACACATGAGACCACGACCCAATCAACACGCCTGGAAAACGTGCGGGTACTAACACCCTTCACATGTGGGGTGGAGCCGCGCGCGGGATGCGGGTCCAGGCGTTTTCCTGAGACCTGAGATTTGAAAAGGCGAAGCCCTCGACGGAAAACAGCCTCGGACGCTATGAGGTGCCTTCTCGCCGTAGCGGGGGCCACCACGAAACTAGCCCTCCCCCCAAGTCTAAAACGCAACCCCTGTACCCCGGGTGGGACTCGAACCCACAATCCCTGGCTTAGGAGGCCAATGCCTTATCCATTAGGCCACCGGGGCTAGCAAGGGGCCGCGTGTCGTGGTCCCAGTCCAGTCTGCGGCCACCTCGGCGCGGTCCCCAGCCCGCGCGCCCCACGCGGCCTTCCTCCCGCCCCCGCCCGGGCTCGG